ATTTTACTACTTGTACAGTATTCATAAATTTAAAATAAAATAAAACAATTTTTTTATATATTTTAATTTGTTTTACGCTCTATAATGTGATATCACATTTATAGCCAAATTTATTAAAAGCTTACATAAAAACTTATTTATTTGTGTTTTAAGTAACTTTTAGTTTACTGCAATAAATTGATATAACAATCAAAAGAAATCATTTTCACAAACAATTAGAACACAATTTCATATATATATATATATATATATATATATATCTATATATATATATATATAATGTCTTCTTCTTCTTCTTCTTCTTCTTCTTGATATCGTAATGCAACTTTTAGCATTGCAGCTTTTCCAGGAGTAAGATTTATATACTGATATTTCACGCATATTGAAGGCTTTAAAACGTCCGAAAGGTCAAGAATGCAAATAAATCGTAGATTTTGATAACTAAACGATACAACGATAATTTACGATTATATTTGCGTAATCGAAAAGTGGATTACATTTAAGATGACAGGACGGGTGCCACCCACGCGTCAATGCAATCGATTTGTAATTTACCTCTTTCATATTTTTAACACATAAACGCACTTTTCGTCCACGACTATTACAAAAGATGCATACTCGAATTCAAACAACAATGTTTTAACGTAATTACTTTATAACTACCTATCTTTTACGTTAAATCTGTTCAATTTGTCCAGTTTTCTTCTGCCTTGCAATGAAAAGAAGGTGCACAGACCACCCCCTCGAATCTATCTTACAATCTTTCTTACTCCGATTTAGCCCGGTTATATCCGTTAAACATACGTGTCAAAAAGTTACTTACATATTTTACAGCTATGTACAAAGTCGGGTCGCCTTCGACACTCGCAAAACACACGAAATTTGATGTAAAATCGTCCAAGTGTCGAACATCAGCAGTTAGCCGAGTAGAGATAGTTGGCGCAGTCGCGATAGCAGCGCTACGATCGCTTGGCGGCATGGCGGGTATCGATCAGATGTTTCGCGCATGTCTGTCAACCCGCACAACGACCCACTTTATTTTTTGATAAACCCAACCCCTAGTAAGATACTAGCGTAAGCGTAATGTTTGTAATTGCAATTAAACTATCATAAAATCCTCATTAAACCAATTTCCTAATATTATTTCTTTCAACAGTACCTAATTTTCCAGTACATTCCTTCCGGTAATTTACCCATGTAGCTTATAATAATGTGTGTTTTGTTTTTGTATCGATATTTTTTTATAGTTTTGTTTGCATACATAACGATTAACACCATGTTCAGTAAGCTACAAGCAGATCCTCAATCCGAGATCCACGATACGTGCGTTGTATGCGTGTGTATGAGTGTGGGTGTAGTTGAGAGGGTGTGTGTATAGGGGTGGTGAGGGGAGGAAACTTTCGGTCAATACGATTGTGTGGGTGACTCGCCATCCCTGTTATACAAGGCGGAGCTCACAGTACGTGGGAAGATGGCTTCTAATATAAAGGTAATGTCACATTTCATAAATACCACGTTTCTCTAACCTAAGGGCGTATCCCGATACAAATTAGTTAACAATTTCATATATTTTATATGACCAAACAACCACTATAAAGGTATTCTATTTCCCCGTTTTGTTTATAGTGCAGTTTCTTGTTTAGAAATATTTTGAATGTACATTTTTTCATTGATTTACAGTACGCTGTTAACATTTCATCTTAATGTAAATTTTTATGTCGTGGCTAATTTTTTTTGTGCTTCGTCGCAAGTTTAGGGTGGTTAATGTGGATCATACAACGCATTACATAATCGTATCCATCACTTGTATGGTTTGACTTTACATCTACCTGTCATAAGAAAATATTGATTCATTTAGGCATATAAGCCTGTATTTTGTTTATGGCAGTAATTCCAGTTTTGGATGCTGGTTACGCTAATTTTCCTCCGCAAACATTTGCTTTCTTTCTGACAGAGGTTCATAACAGCGATGGTTGATGTTAATGTTTTTTATTTCGGCAGTAATTTCTGTTCCCAACTGTATTTGAACTACTACGGATTGTACTGTACAGTATCGTCAAATACGTATTAAATATTAAAATCACCTGAACAATTATTTTTAAATTTAGGAAACTAATAGATGCAACAAGTGTTTAATGCCTACCTTTTATGTTTCAAACTCGTTTGTGTCTAGTGTTGACTTTATGAATGATTCATAACTAATTGAGGATCAAGGATGAATATTAGAAGCATTACAGAACAATAATTCATCAGAATGTTTTGATTACAAAGTTACAGTGAATAATGAGTGAATTTTTGAATGTTAACTATCCACTTAAATTTTTTACAATGTCATATTAGTCATTTATATGATTTAATTATAATGTAACTTCCCTCAAAAAAGAAAAAAAACAAAAAAAAATTACCACCAAGTTTATTATTAGGTATAGGCCGAAACTAGTTGGCTACACTAGCAATATTTTGGATTACAAATTACAACGAAGCAGGTATTTACAAAAATCCCTTTTACTTTTAGCGAATTTCCCATAAAGGGAATATAAGCTATTACCGTAGTACTCATGGTAAGACCTGGACCCGGGACCAATATAATTTTTCATTTTGAGGTCCCTAGAGGCCAAAAACACCATCCGTTCAAATTCATATATATGTTTGTCACTTCTTTTTATAAAATATAATATTCAGGGTGCTCAGTTGTACTTATTTACTTAAATATTTAATATGTATATACAGTATATATATATATATATATATATATATATGTGTGTGTGTGTGTGTCCGTTAGCGCGATAACTCGAGCAAAAATGATCCGATTTTGATGTAATTTGGTACAAACGTGTAAACCTACGTTTATTCGAACGAGGTCGCGAACCAGCATAATCGGACCATGGGAACGGGTGTTTATGGGAGGTTTTATGGGGTAAAAATGGGGTTTTCCCATTTTTTACCCTAAAAACAAAAAAGTTTGCAATTTCTTTTTAAGCAGTTTTGTAGAGCTTAAAAAAAGAAATAATTTAGTACATTGAAGCGCTGTTGTATGCCTAACGGGTTATATTATCTGTGCTAACGGTCACGGAGAAAATTCAAAAATAGTGTAATTTTAAATTCCCATGTTATTCTTATGGAGAAAATGAAAAAGTTTACTTGTTTATGGATATATGTTGATACAATTTGGCAAATTTATTTATTTCATCCTATATTATTGACGTATGGTCAAAGAACACTTTTTACCTTCCCCGTAGCAGCAAACCTAAGCACTCGTTAAATCTTATGTTATTTAAATTGGGAATAAATATGTCTTATTCATGGAAATATTTTAGTAATAATGTAATCAGACAAGTTGAAATTCACTTAGTCTGCAGGTTTGCTGCAGCGGGGGTATTATTTAATAATGTAATCCGGAGGCTTACGCTTACATCAATATAAAAAATGAAAACTTGACTGCAGTGTGACGACCTTCTCACCGCAGTATTTCACCTCCCTTTTTTTAGAACCTTTGGAACAGTTACACGGAACTGTTTGGGATAATGTTCAATACAACTGTGACAAAAAGTATAGAATAGGTTAGGCGAAACCGTTATATTACAAATAGCTCCGTTCCTTTTCAACTTTATTATTTTTCCTGCATAAAAATTTAATTATTATGATATACCTTTTTTCCTCCTCCTCATAATAATAACAAGTCTTTTATAGACATGGACATAACCTGTAAGTTAGTTAACTGGTTTCGTTTATTTAATTATTCTTACATTACATCACGAAAACCGGCTTATTCTTAAAAGACAATGATATAATAGCATATTAAGGAAAACTATTCAAATAAATTGCACAGTTTTGTTAAATTTGCTAACAATGAGAAAGGTTATAAGGTATAAGGTATTGTTGATGGAGCAGGAGTCACAATGAAAAAGCACATCCAAATTAAAATCAAAAGTTTTACTATTATATTTATAGTTATATTTTGGATACAGTATTGTGAAGTTCATAATCTATACTTATTTAACTTACCTTCTTCTGTTTCAAAATTCAGCTCCCCAACTATTATTTCAATGGCATGGGCTTCTTCCAGATGCTGGATCAAGTTTTCAAACCACGAAAATTGATGAGAGCAATCACCCTCTGGGCCTTTGGGCAAATAAGCCTTTTCGGGTTGTTTGAACTGTCAGATTGTTCACTACAACAACTATCATGCACATTACGTGTATGGCGCGTTAAATTAAATTTACTAGCAAAAGTGTTTGTCACAAAATGAACATTCAAACTTTTTTGTATTAATATCAGACATACTGATCCAGTAACTCTTTAACTTGAAATAACACCATCGATTTGAGATAAAGTTTCCAATCACTTGACAAAATGGAGGTTAAAGACAGAGATCCACGAAAAACAAAATGAACGCCTAAAAAGGAAATGGAATGGAACTCTTTGTTTGTAATGTAACGGTTTTAACAAATCTATTCCAAACAGTTCCGTGTAACTGTTCCAAAAGTTCAAAAAAAGGAAGGTGAAATACTGCGGTGAGAAGGTCGTGCAGTGTGCAGCGACAGCGAGCCAAGCCCCAATTGCAGACAGACACAGTACAAGATAAACAAACGTCAAGGAGGATAACTAATTGACACAGTGACGTCATTTTGAAGTGTTCTGTGACTCATAATAGTCATTTGTGTTGTTAGAGATTATTGTTCCAAAATTATTATTTTCCTCCACTAATAATTTAACCCTTGTACTTCATATAGTTGATTAATTAAATAATATATTTTAATGTTGCGTTTAACAAGGAGAATACTGATCAGTGATTAATGATGTGTAAAATTTTAAAGACAGTTTTCATTTTAATTCCTTGCGTTGCGTCATGCATGGTCTTGACGAATCATGAAACTGTTCCTAGAGAACTCACTACTCAGTGACAGTGACGTTGACGTAGTCGAGACTCGAGAAGGTGGAGTGGAACAGTAGAACGGGAACAACTGAACAACTGTTGCTCGTTTCGTTCGTTATCGTTGCTCGGTTGCTCGACGCTCGTAGTCTGTTCTGTTCTGTTATGTCGGGACGGGAAATCTTTTAGTTTAGAAGTGTCAAATAGTGTTTAATGTTGGACTTCAATAATATTTGTCAATTTCTCTAGTGGATCTCTTGACGTAGGACTGATTGCTAATTATTTATAAATTATTTTTGGAGTTGGTGTTTTCCTGTCTGTGATTGAGATTCATTCAATTTCATTTCACGGCAGCAATCGTTCCAATCTAAACCTAAATCCTGTCAACCAACGCATCGCTGGAGAGGAACTTATTAGGCCTAGCGTTCATCAAAAGTATTTTGTCTGATTTGTTGCTTTGATTTTGAATCAGGTAAGTTAGTTTCCGGAAATGTCTGCCTTATATTTACATCACACTCCATTTACTTGAATAGGACTAGATTAGAACTAGGCAGAAGGCCTAGCCCGGATATTAAATTAACTTAGGTTAACTTAGGCCTATGTCTAATAATGTCATTGAGGCTAGACTAAGCTAGGCCTACGGTACTCCCCTCTAAGATCAGGTAGTTCACAAGAGCAAACTGTGCATCACCTGTCACGGCGCTTGTATCTGGGTCAGTGTCCTGAGTGATTACTCATCTGATATCATTCAATTCACAACAAAACGAGGAACGTCCTACAAACATATTAACACGTTCGCTGCTGAGCGCTAGATGCCGGGACGGCGCCAGTTGCTGAACTACGCTCGGCCGCTGCGTGACATTGCCACCGATACACTGAATTACAGTAAAAACAACAGTAGTTATATTGGATGGCAATGTTCTGCAATAAAACTGGCTTTGGATATAGTACTAAGGGATTCTGATAGATAGCAGCACTACCCAGGTTACAGTCGGTAAAGTAGTGTCGCTATCTAGCAGGAAAGAGGTAAAACAAAGCCCTGTTCCAAACGACCCTGGTGGTGATTTGGGAAACTATATTTTTTATTGTCAGAAAAGTACGTCCCCACGAGCTGCAAAGAAATATAGAACGCTTGTGACGTGCTGGCTTATCCATAGCAACGTTAAACAACATTGAACGGTGACGTTCTGGAACGTTCTTAGCTCCTGGCGCCGTGGCCCGGCTGACGTTCCGGAACGTCCGTAGCAGCGAACGTGTTAATGATAACCCAACATAACATAAATAACAGCCGCAACACCCTGTATACCTACTTGGCGGAGTACATGTGGCAGCTAACTTACTGGCGGCGACGCATTCATCTCAATCCTCGGGTGCCTACATCGCTGCCTTCTGGAAGGCAGAAATCAAAGGCCGCTAACTTAGGCCTAATCTTAATCATGTTGAATTTGGACAGTATGTCAATTAAAGTATGTTCTGTTCAGTTATTTTGGTCGCCGGTAAAAATTCCTTCTAAAATAAGTGGCCTCCTTATAGCCTAACTCAAAAGTAATGATTCATGCCTGTACTATATTAGGTAACTTACCTAAAGCATACTGCCTTAAAACATCTAGAGTCCTTTTAAATTCTCAAGTTTATTATGGCTGTAGTTACGGTAGCCTCTGACTGGGCATAACTTATGGAAAACTTATGTTAAACTAAACGGTACCGGTACTTTCCTGTTAAAGGGAACATTCATTATTATCGATGATTTTGTTCTCGATATTTCGATATTAACAAGTTGAAACATATCAACTGACAACTAAGTTTGGCCCAAGATAAATATTGTTCAGTACGGTATCAACAAACAATAATGAAATGATATACTTTGTTAAGTTTTAATCCTACTGTCATGGTGATATAATAATATGACAATAGAAGTCAAACATTCCCATGTGGGCTATGCGGTTAAGTGTTCAATCTGACCCCCAGAAGGAATCAAACTATTTTGACCTCCGAGCAAGTTTTAAATAAACCACAAAATGTAATTGTACTATTTAAGTTTGTACGTAGCCATTACAACTTAGTCTCCTAAACATTAATTTTCGGACGTTAGCTTTAACCTAGTAAAATTTGATATTGGTCTGTAATACCACTGATGTACTGTAATACCTGAAACATCTATAACCTTTACTAGCTTACAACAGGCTAGGTGGCCTACTGTAAAAAGTATGCTGTTTTGCCATACTTTTATCGGATAAAAAAAGGGCTTTGGTGCCTCCTTTTTATAATAATACACCACACAATCCCTGGTTTTTCACAACACTGGTCTACGGGTGACTGAATTAGTCTTCCCTCCAGTTTTTGTCTTTTGTCTGAGACCACCGCACACCAATGCGACATTTTTGTTTTCTGACAAGACGGCTTCCAACAAAACGTTTTCTCAAAAACCGTTTTGTCTGACCAGTGTGCGGCCTTACGAAGATATTAAACCTTTTTTATAACAAATTACACGGACACAAATATGCGACGTCAGTCTTATTTTATGTTACCAGCCGTTGCATATTTGCGTCGCTGGTCCATATGAATGAAAAAAATGTACTATTCCTGTAGCTAAAATGTTAAAATGCCTAGTTGTAAGTTAGCCTCGTGGATATTTTAAATCTTCAATTTAAAGTAGTAGGCAGGCCTAACTACTGTATTTCAGATAAAATGTTGGCTAATTCTATTAAGCCTTATAGGTTTTACTAACTAGGCTGTAAAAATAATTCATTAAGTTACAATCGACTTTTAAGTTAACGTGGTTGAAATCTTTTTAGATTGGGTAGCCTATGTGATTTACATTTTAGCAATCATAGTTTTTCTCGGTCTAAATGTTAGGCTTATTCAACTAAAATGCCTATAAATAATTTAAAAGCTGTCTTTTACAACCATAATCTCACTGTTTTTGTTAGTGGGATGTGCTACTGGGATTGTCTACTGTTTAAGTTTCAAATGATGTATTTTCTGTTTAGCGTATCAACGTCAGCTATGGACTACAACGGGACAGGGGGCTCCTCTGGCGCCAACGCGAACGACACAAACAAGAGGATTCAACAGTCCCAGGCCCAGGTGGATGAGGTAGGTGAAAAAATAAAATTGTAGGTACTGTGTATGATATACCCTGAAGCCTTTGGTAGCCTTTAATCATATTATGAAATGGCCATTGTAGGCCTACTGCTTATCTATTGTACAATCAGGGTAGGCTACTCACTCGACTGTGAAAACCCTAAAACTGTGTTTAAGCCCTTAGTTTTTTCAACTATGAAAAATACCTGGATTAAGAGGTGAATTTTGTGATCAAGTTTTAAAAAGATGTAGCCTACCAAAGGGTGCATCATTGTCTTAAGAAATTGATAATCGATAAATTTGGTATAGCGAGCGTGTACATTCATTACAATGGTTCATGCCTATGATTCGTGATAGCATCATCAGCCCTTGTAAATCCGGCAAAATTGAGGACCCCTCCTACTGTCATCGAGGGGTCGCCGTCTAGTTGTACCTCGTCCAAAATCTGTAGATACAACCACATTGGCACACACGTCTTGTTGTACCTACGTCTAGTTGTACCTTTTAAAAATCTGCAGGGTACAACTTTGTCGTGTACGCTACCTTCTAGTTGTACCTCATACGTCTGCGTCTAGTTGTACCTACGACTATTTGTAACTACCCCCGACTATTTGTACTAACGACTAGTAGGAAGATCCTAGATCAATCACCTTGTTTAGGGGTTACTCAAATTGACCAAAGTACCAATTAATACATAACCTAAACAATAATAACTAGATATCTGAACATACTGTGTCATTGTTTAATCTTTTTAAGAAATCTGTCCACAGTCCTACCAATTATTTTTTAAAAACTTATTTTTAAAATAGTGCAGCATGCATTTTTATATTGAAAGGTAATCTGAAAGCTGTTGTCTATTTGAAAATGACCAAGTTATTTGAATTTAAGTATTTGAATTTAACAGTTTTGATTAGTTGCTTGCATTTTATGATCTGGGACATAGGCCCTACATTGAGAGCTTCTTGTTTTGGATTATTTTCATCATCAGTCCATACAAATCCTGTATTAATTTTTTTTTTATCCTTATAATGCTTAGTTGTCTAAACCTATCTGTTGTGGCTAGAAATAATTGGACGTTTTTCTCCTAAGAAAGTGAATAATACTTATACCGGGTGCGGCAAAAGTCAGCGTACCGCTGCAGACCGTTGAGCGTCAATATATACAACATTAACTCACTGATCAGGTATACAAAAGATTAGGCACTTCTAGAATAGCTAGGGAGCTGAGATTTTTTGTGGAGGTCCGTCTAGGTCCCAAACCACCAGGAAAATCCCAAAAAGTTACATTTTCAAAATGCAACCCCCCAACAAATTCCATTAAAACCCCCGTTTTTTGGGAAAAACACGTTTTTTTTAAACGGCTGTAGCTCGAAAACGGTAAGAGCTAGAAGGGATTTGAGGAAAAATCGTAGGTTCAGAATTAAATTTTCTACAAGACACTTCTTAGCGTTTTACGAAAATCTAACTCCTTCAACTTCAAAAAGTGGCCTACTTCCGAAAATTGTGAAAACATTTAAAAGAATTGATAACGGAACATTTTGATGTTTTATTCACACCACAACTATGCAACAAAATGTGTAAGTCAGTGTTGAAAAGGTGCTACAAGTGTATAGACAATGATGGTGGTCACATTGAGCAGCTTCTCTAACAGGTACATTAAAATTATACTTTTATAGTTATGTTTAATGCTAGCTACAGTTTAACTGCTTTTTCGGTATACTGACTTTTGCCGCACCCGGTATTATTATAGTGGAAGTAAATTAGGTTAACCAAGACTATGTCAAATAATGACTGATGTCAACTCGTTTCTTACGCACAGGCTTCGCCTATGTGGAGAACTATCCATTTTCAGAAAATTATATGCATGCTGCAATTATTGTTCTTTTATGATAAGAATTTTATTTATTTGATTCAATTTTCTTATTGGATTTGCAGGACACATTCCATAAAACAATTCTCAAAGCTTGAGGTTAGTTTAACAACTTAAAAGAAAACATTCAAAGATATTTATTTGATTCAATTTTCTTATTGTATTTTACAGGGCAGAAGAGCCTACATTAAACAATTTTTAGAGCTCAGGGTTAAATTAACAACGTAAAACAAGAACATTCAAGGATAGTTATCCGGAAAACTATTTTACTAATATATATATTACGACAATATATTTACAACAAAACTTGTAAGATAGTTGAACAAAGTAAACTTGCACTACAAATGTAAAGATGGTCGGAACGAATGTATGAAATTGCATGCAAATGTTTAGTATATAACATTTAGTAATCACCAATTCTAAGTTGAAAAAAATATTTTGCAATGCTACTCAATTGACACAAAACACACAGTTTCTGATTTAAATAAGGGTATTAAAACCAGGCACTCATTCGGTAACCATTTAAAAAGGTGTTTAATCGAAGGGGAGATACAACCATAGACTACTAGTAGGCACAAGTAGGCGGAGGTACAACTAGATGTAGGGACAAATAGACGTATGTTCAACTAGATGCATCCGTACAAGCTGGGTGGTACAACTTGACGGTGGCAAACACGTTTCGTTGTACTTACGTCTAGTTGTCTCTGCGTCTAGGTTGTAGGCCTACCTCTTAAACATCTGCAGGGATAACTGGCCGGGTATGCCCCATCTATTTGTACCTACGTCTAGTTGTTTACGACTAGTTGTCCCTAGGTCCGAGGTACAACTAGACGGCGATACAACGAGACGCGGTCCCTCATGGAGGCATTATCAACACCTTACGCAACCGCGCCAAAATTGTGGATTTCTTTTATGGTAGTGGAGACACCATAATCATCTAGCGCGATAGTTGAACAATTGTTAACATCTCTTGTGGAGACATAATAATTGTCTCCGGCCATCACTGGGATATGATAATTGTCTTGAAAATGCAGTGACATCAAGAATTTGTTTAGATCAAGAACTTGGGGCTCTATTTTAATCAAAGTATATAGCTAGTATCTTAGGGCCTTCACACACCAGGCCACTTAGGGCACGAAAGGCCACTTTGGAAGGGTGTTTGATGGCGAGTAACATTGTGTGGTAAGCCACTTCATCAGCCACTACACATGCTCAGTTCAACTGTTTTCTACTTATCGTGGTAGATTTGGAAGAAACTTGTGGGTTAACTTTAAGGTTATTTATTTGCAGAATAAAAGGGAAAAAATACTGCATATACCCATTTTTACGCGATCAAAGTTCGAGATGAGTGTTTTTACTCATTATGTGGACCTCAGAAACAACCTGGATAAGTTTTACACATTTGCACGAATCATTGTTGATACATTTGACGAACTACTCAGACGATTGAAAGAAAGGATTATGATCACAGGAACCACAATCAGATTCCGAGAATGTATACTACCAGAACAATCATTACTGGTAATGGTCACAAGTGACACTGGAGAAAAACAGGGTGTCGCCACAGAGTTGCGCTAGTACTAACAGTGCACCATATGATTCTGATGATTTTTGGCTGGTGGCACCTTCTCTGGTGGTTAGCAAAGTCGGGGGCTCTGGCCACTGCAAGCAGTTGAGGCCTAGTGTGCTGTCGTACACATTTAACTCAATTCCTTTAGTGGTGGCCCTGCCATGGTGGTCAAAAATTGAAATCACATCTGATCTGACTGGAGTTGGTCGACTACACTGTCTCTTAGAAGGTCAGCTGTGATGTCGCTGTGATTTAACCTGTATCTAGCCTTTAGACAATTGGTTTTAATTGTCAAGACACTAAAAGAATAGGTACTTGTGTGTGACTACTCTTAGATTTGTGAGTAATATGATGTTAGTTGTATTCAATTGTAATATAGTTAATGAGAAACTATAAGGGGTATGGAAAAAGATGGAGGGGCCTAATCGGCACCTAGACCGGGGAATAACCAGAATAGTAGACAATAAGTGTATTGGGTTTATTGGAATAAAGATTGACAATCTTCTTTTTGTAAAAAAAAAATTAATTTAACTTTATTATTTCAGGTGGTCGGGATCATGAGAGTGAATGTGGAAAAAGTCCTTGAGAGGGATCAGAAACTGTCTGAACTTGACAACAGAGCTGGTATGTAGATTATCCTTTTAATTTACTGAAACGAAAGTTGGTCAAACGATGAGATGGCTTATAACCAGATTTAATGACAAATAATCTATTTACAGTTAAATAGATCTCCTAGTTAAATGGTATAAGTTGTGATCTATTTTGATTGGACTATTTAATTATCATGAAAATCAATAGGCAAACGTAGTGTAAATATATGTTTCATGTTTGTTTTTAGACTAATTAAATTTAATTTAAATGTTAGTGTAGTAAATTTTATTTCCTACATCAGTTAGAAGTTAATTACAGTAGGCCAATAAATTATTTTGAGTTTTGATTTTTGAAATTAAATGCAAACAACGCAATTGATGTGGCAAAAATAACATGGTACTGTAATCTTTATTATTTTCTTGATAACATTGAAGTCCAAAAAATTAACTATAAACACACCGTTATTATTTCATTATTAAATTTTTTATATTTAGATTTAGGGTCTATAACTTATCTTCGTATTTGGTTCTCAACAAAGCAAAACACTTTAATATCATCAATTTTGACATAGAAAAATAATAAAACATTTGTTATTTAAATTAATAAATAACTGGTACTCCAGCCCCATCTTCAAACTCTCTAAAGGTCCTCCACTTCTTCCTTGTCCTCCTTAGACACATGCTGCTGGCCCTTAACGTCGCACAGATGGTTTTTACCCTTATCCAGTTCATCACTAAACTGTAAGGTTTATTCCATTTTTCTGTTAGGCGTTCTGCCATTGCTCTGAGGAAGGTCTTAAACTCTTTGCCCAGCATTCCGTCCACAGACGTGACTAGTGGGGTAAAAGATGCATTTCTGGTTTCTGTTATTGTTAAATATTTCCTCTTCTTCTCTCTTTCTGCATTCTCCAACACTTTTTTGTATGGGAGGTTCAAGTACGACGGAGCATCAGTGTCAATGACACGTACATCGAATAATGCTTCCGTCTGAACCTCCCACACACCCCTACAAGCCAAGTCTGCTTTTAGTGCTGCAGTATCAAATGACCCTTGCTCAGAGATCATTGGTTCTCGAACACAGTTTCCCCATGTTTCTCCATCAAGCTTCCAAGGGTATCTCTTACCTCATTATGTCTTCTTATTATCAAACCACCTGTGCTACAGTTAAGGGCATGTTCCATATTGAAGTTTTTGCCACAACCATCACATGAAGAGGGGAGGTATAGGAGTTTTCACATACATGACAGCCATCCACTGTGTTTCGCTTTAGTATTTGCTCCTCGCAAGATAATTTTTTGTTGTTTTAGAGGAAGATTTTGAATAGTCGATTTCAAAATGCTTTCTTCTAATCTTCTCTCCTCTTTCAAGTCCTTTTTTGTGATAATCAAATGTTCATGTTCTTGCATACTTATTTTCCTCTTAGTTTTTAGGGAGTCTATGATGAATTTACAACATCTCTTTGAAGCTCGGAACAATGCTTTTCCCTGAGCGGTAGGATCAACTAAACCAATTCCTCCATTTTTTACTTGCAGATGTAATATTTTTTGTTCATCTTGGTTCAGGTGAGAGCCAAATAAAGCAGGAAATAGGTTTTGTTCTATTGAGTTTTTTATTGGATGGAAATTAATGTCTTCACTTTCAACAACTCTTTGAAAAAAATTCCATTTAGCTTGTATGGATTTTGTGGCAACAGTGTGTGCTGATTGTGGATATTTTTCAGCTACATTCGCCAGACTTACCAAATGACTATTCCACTTTTCTACCTTCTTTTTAATGAAGACATCTTTTTCAGTTTTGTCACATCCAATAAATCCTCCTAAATAACTACTCCCAGTAACAATCTCTAATCCTGATATGTTGGATAGGTCTAATGTTGATGGTTCAGATCCAACAATCAAACGAGTTTTGTGAGCTTGTGGGTAGTAACCATATTTAGGCCCAATTTCTTGTAATTTCTCCCACCATTTCACCACATTATAAAGTTTTCCTTGACATGATGAGTCATCCGCATACCATACTTGGTTTGTATCTGTGATGGTTTTTAATTCATTAATTAACGGCAAAGTGGCTAATCCATATAATATCATGGATAATGGGTCTCCCTGAGTAACGCCTTCTCTGCTATACAGTTGTTTTTTACTTCCTGGCATAATTAGTGCAGCCTTACTCTGGTATGTGTTGAAAATAAATCGTGCAGCCCTTGGCCATTTAATTCTTGCCTGCCATACCGCATGAACTCTGTTTATCCTGTTGAAGGCCTTGTCAGCATCAACCATTATCATACAGCTGTCTTCTTCAGTTTGACATTTTTCTTCATATTGGTCTCTCATAAAATGTATTGTACCTTCAATTCCTGCTTTTAATCCTACACAGAGTTGATCAGTGCCACATATTTCAATAACTTCACTAGTAGTATTTACTTTAGTATATACTTTAGTATATTTTCTTTAGTAGTAAGTATTTTGCACTTCATCACTAGTAGCAAGAATTATACATTTTGCTAAGATACGGCGGAGCACTTCTCCTATAAGGCCACAGGATGCGGAATCTCCGCCGTGCGGTGCGATTTTTTCCGCTGCGGAATTAAAACGACACTGGTTTAATGGAGTTCCCATGTATGCGGTTCCACTGACTTGCGATTCCGCATCCCGAAATTTCCGTTCCGCATGGCGGAGAAATCATACTGGTCTGAGAGCAGTAGCAGTGCGGATTCTGCCAGCGGAGAAGAGCCATAAAATATTGTGACCGTGCAGTTTCATTATGTCTTGTGCTGTAAAAAGAGTTATGGATGAACGTTTTTCTTCGACCGAAGAGGAAGAACTTGTCGAGTTGGTGTCTCAACATGATGTGCTGTGGAAGTTGAACGACCCAGAGTACAAAAACAACGCCAAAAAAGATGTAATTTGGAGTAAAATTGGAGAAAAACTTGGGAAAACAGGTAATATGTATTTACCATTAGTTGTTATAATTTCATATCAATATAGTTTGAATTTTTTTGGTCAGGATGAATAACAAAATATGTCCAAATCTACTATAAAATGAGAAATTAAAAAAAAATATATTGTATTCAGATTAATTTTAATTGAAAAATACCTTAGCTTTGTTTACATTAAACATTTAATTACAAATGCATGTCGTTATAATTCTACAGTACTTTTGGTTCTTATGTTAGAGTGTGGGAAGTTTGTTTACTAGTAAAAACAAATAATTGAGAAATATTATACTTTCACTTAAGTGATCAAAAATTAATAACTTACAGATTTCAGAGATGTGCGTGAAAGATCATTTGATTGTTAGTATGTTTAAATATTACAATAATTTGTTTTACATTTGAGCTTTTTAGGGACTCAACCCCCTACATGCCACTAGTACATCTTTACTATGTAAAAACTGAACAATAACAACCAAAGGTTTAAAAATTAGCTGTATCCGTCAAGTGATCCTATAGTACAGTTGGTTGACTACAGCTGTTTCGTGTTTACAAACACATCTTCAAGTCGATATTGCATTAATTTATTACATGCAATAGTCGTCATGAGGTTTAAAGTTCACAAATGAAACTTACACGTACACGAAACATTAATCATTAATAGGCCAAAACACAAATACACAAAAAACTAGACATCAGACACGTGCGGCGCCGGTAGAAGGAAGGTCATGTCTGTCGTGTGCCGGAAGTGATAACCCGCCACCCATTATCTGCTTTTATCTGTTGTGGTTTAAGATGCGTATGGCTGAATTGTAAATAATATATTATTTAATATTCTAATGACAGTTTTTACTTTTGGAGGTTTTCAGTGTAAGTTTTATTACTGAACTTTAAACTTCATGACGACCATTCCTTGGAATAAATCAATGCAACATTGACCTTAAGATTTGTTTGTAAAAACGAAACAGCTGTAGTCAACAACTACCCCATCACTTGACAGATACAGGTAATTTAAACATTTTGTTGTAAAAATCAGTGATCCAGAGGCTATACCATAAAAATGAAATTGAACAATTACGCATGTAAGTTGTAAAACAGTAACCTAAAACTTTGGTTTACCCAACAGTTTTGGTACGGTATATTAAAATATATATACTTAGTAACTGGAAGTGATTCTGATTAGAGTTTTCTTTTATCATCACATTAATTTATCATGGCTATCCTACTTTAATATGAGCAATGTTTGCTTGAATGTTTACTTGCACATTGCAATTAAAGAATAGTTTCCAACACCTATTGACATCTTGGAAATAGGCCTAACTATTTTTGGGGTAAAAAACAATGAAACAGGTCTAAGCAAAAAAAAAAAAAAAACAGTAATCTTTATTATATATACAGTAATTACAATGATAGGGTCTATAACGATTGGTTACTTATTGTCTGTAACTATGAGGTCGGGTATCCCTATTGACCCTATTGAAGGTTACTAAAGGATTATTTAAGTACCTAACCTATTTTTCTTTGTTTTGAACATTATTTGTTTCTTTTTTTCTAAAAAAGCACTGTTGAAATATTCAGTGAATGTGTCTCTTACTTTGAATCCTTCACTTTTCACAAATCCACCGTTCCAAGCCAGGGGGATCATATTTTCTGCTGGCATTTCGATGACTGGATATTCCAATGGACCCGGGGGAGGACTGTTAGACAGAAACTCAACTCGTAACAGGTTATGAAGGCAACAGGAAACAAAAATTACCAAGTCTACTGTTTCCGGCTTCAAATTTATAGGTGTGAAAATATTCTGAATACAACGGATAGAAGGCCAAAAGCATTTTCTGTGACTCTGCGAGCTCTGCTCAGAGCGAAGTTGTAGTTCCTTTTTCTGATGTCAACAGCAGCTTGTTTTTGGGGGTACGGCTTTAAAAACATGTGTGTCCAAACGAAAAGCTTCGTCCCCAATAATAACATGTGGTAGCTTCAAATCAGAAGAGGGCAAAAGTCTTGGTGGGGGAAATATTTCTTCTTGTTCGACCACCTTCCCGAGGCTTGATTTCGAAAATATTCCCGCATCACCCTCTTTACCATAAGAACCAACATCGATCAAAGTAAATTTGCAGTTGGCGTCTACCAATGCAAAAAGAACAATTGAAAAATATCCTTTGAAGTTGTAGAAAAGGCTTCCAGAGTTGTCTGGAGATATTATCCTGACGTGCTTCCCGTCAACTGCCCCAACACAGTTGGGGAAGTCCCATCGAGTCCATAACTGATCTGCCTTCTCATTCCAGTCTATCTGAGATGGATCGGGCAAAACTTTTCCTTCTAGTCCACGTTTTAGTGATTTTAGAACGTCTGGTAAAAATTTTGATATTGTGCTATGATCGATTCTGAATGAAAAAGCCAACGAACGAAGAGATTCGCCAGTTGCCAGCAACCTGAAAATAAAATGAGTATGCATAATCACTTAACGTTTTATCGAGTTAATGTTATGTATTGACTATACATGGAACATTTCCTTATTTCAGGGACCTCCTGTAAAAATAGGTGGAGAAATATTCGTGACTACTACAAAAAAAGTCGAAGGGACGATCTAACATCGACGGGAAAGCCTGCAAAGAAAAAGAAGGCTAATTACTGGGATATGTTGAGCTTCCTTGACGACACGGAAAATGAGCGAGTGTAAGTGTCAAGTACTTAATCTTAAAACACATCTATTTCTGTGAATGGGTCCTTGTCCTTGAAATGGGTACATCAGGGACCCCCTCAAAAAAATAACACTCATACTGTTCAGAAATCCAGACACCATTCCCATCCACACCATCACTCCCCTACCCATAAACCCAAACTCCATTAGAAAATAAATCATGTATATTTATAACTAAATTCGATTTTACGACAAATATCATTGTAAATATATGGTTTGTTTATACAGGGTTAGTAAAATGTGTGGAGACCCCCTGTTATTTTTTAACGGCCCATACTAGAAAAACTAAACTCGGCACACCTTGATGACATGTTATGAAGTACTTTTTGGGCATAACCGTCACTTGGTGTACATCCCCAAAATGGGGGATTTTGGGGGAAACTCAAAATTTTCAAACACAAAGACCCATCGAGTGACCCCTCATTTTGAAGGTCCTTGTAAAAGAAAACCAACAACGCAAATTAGAGGTCTTTATCTCAATCCAGTAAAAAATGGCAGCCAATTGAAATTCTCAGAAGTTAAATTTAACTTACAGCTTTCCAAGTCTGGAGACTCGCAGTAAATTTTGTAGCTAAAATGTTTAATATTATTGAGTTTTAAAACAAATTAAGTTAAAAAGATTTTACTCGTAGGTAATATGAATATGTAATGGATCACAATAATACACTGATGTTATGTTTTTTTTCAGTGTTCTTACGAATGCCCATGCTAACGAGGTTTCTGACGATTCACTCGCTGAAGATGTTTCTCAACTCGCGGCACCAAATGTTGAGGATATTCATGATTTACAGGCTACGTGTTCAGCTACAAATACAGCAATGGATACGGTTACCCAAAATAAGGAAAAGGCGGTTCCAAACAAGAAGAAGGTTACTACCCAAGATGCTGTACTCAAAGCTCTGAAAGAAAGAAAGGAAGAAAGAGAGCTCTTGATGAAGACTGTTGAGACAGCTTTTCAACCAGTGGTTGAAAAAGAAGATGAGATTGACCATTTTTTTAAGTCAATTGCACTTACTGTAAAAAAATTCAGTCCAGCTGAAAAGGTTGAGACAAAAATGAAAGTTATGGAAGTAGTTACTGCCATTGAATTGCGTCGCTTCTCAAACACTAACAATCAAGTTGTTAACCCTAATTATAATAAGCCTTATACAAATCAGCGGTCTGGAAGCAGTCTGTCGACATCCTCAATCATCGGTTCGGCAATGCAGTGTTTATCACCAGACAATAAGAATGAAGATGTGAGAGAATACCACCAACAACAAAACTATTAGCACAGGTTATCATCAGACCATCTACAAACCCCATTAGTTTCCTAACATTATGTAAATAACCTTATTCTTTTTGGGGCTTGCATTTTTTATTCATGTATCAATAAAACTACAATTTAAGTTCAAATTGTTATTTTAATAATGTTTACCTTTATTACCATGCTCATAAAAATTAGTAAGGTGATTTTTAAGAACTTCAAACAAACAAACACAAGTTTCACATTTAAGAATTAAGATTAAGATTAAAATTAAGATTTATCAAATATGATTTAAAACCAGTTTCTCATAAAACTAATTTATAATCTCTCTCTCTCTCTCTATGTCATTCCAAATTATTTTGAAGCGAACATAATATAAAACTATTCGAGGTAGGTCAAAATACATTGAAATAAAATTACAGTATTCCTTAAGCCAAACGGCTCCTGTTTTTAAATTTGTTGACTGTCAAACAATTAAGTAAATTTCTTTCATATACTGTAATAATAAAAAATCTCTTGCTCACATACATCTAATAAAACTAAAAAAAACTTGTTTATATTTTAGTTTATCAGTTATTGTGTCTCCATGCCATGATTTTAATGTTTTGCAGATATTCTCCAACAAGGAGCCTCACAGTTTGAACAAGCGGCTGGGAGGTTAAAGCGAAAGATGTGGTGGAAAAATGTTAAGGTAAATTTATAAAAAGGTGATTAAGCAATAATTTTAATAGCATATTATTGGTTGGCTTGCCGCCCTGGCTCCGTTCAAACAGCATCAAACCTTACTGTATGAAGTGTCAGCTGCTTAGAGTTTTTGCACTTCTCCATAAACTTAACCCCTGTAAGCCTGTGTGTTTGTGTTCTGCAAGCCTGTGGATTTGAAAATCCCCATGATTAGAGCTTTTCAAGACATTACCTGTGTCTTGGTGTGCCCTAGTGATGATCGCTTGCATTGCTGTTGTCTTGAGGATGCCACATTATGGTTCCATGCAGGTCCTGCAAATTTCACAGATCACTCCTTGTTGGCCAAATGATCTCCCTTTTCGTTACCATGTCTGAACACCCAACTGAGTCGAGCTTTCCTAACCTGCTAGTTTCTTCTACTTACTAATTTGTTCAAGATTGGTTGTATTTCTAAACCAACCTTCACCAAAACTCCTATGAGCTTAGTGCTTTGATATCGGAGAAGATCCATTTTCATGGCCCTGTAGCCAATTCTCACGATTTCCCACATTTTATTCCGTAATAACAATTGCTTCCAACTGGAGAGATATTTAGCAAGACAGATTCTGATATTTTAATTTCTCCCTGCCCCGGTTCCATTGGTTGATTTGAGCTGTCTGTAAACCATTCCGCTTGCTTTGTGGCTAAACCATTCATCACGTAGTGGAATCATTACTATTCCAATACGGTAGTTAATTTTTACCCTTGAATTTGTACAGATGTTTTTGTCATTGCCTTTTTTAAATTATATGTTATTAATTGCTCGAGAGACAGTGAATGACTCGTATATATGCATGCTACTGATTCAAACCAACAAAACTTTATAGTATATGAGTAACAATACTTTTAGTGCAAACCATTTGTGGTTTATGGACTTTTTATAATTTTGTTATCGTTAATTATTGTGTTAAATCATTTTCTCGATTGATTACGGTGAAAGACTTTGAAAAGGCATGGCAAATCTTCATCAGATCGGAGTCCATCTCTAAGAGAGCTTCACTCAATGGTGTGCCTTACACAGCAAGGCATTGTTTCAACATTAGCTGTCTCCGTCACTCACATTTCTCTGTTTATCAAGTCAGTAATCATTGTGGCTGTTGGGAATCATTTTAGTTACAGTGCTGCCATAGGCGTAATTAGGATGACCCTAAGGGAGGGGTTATGCAGGGGAGTCTGGGGCCCTCCACTGGAAAATGATTAACTGTTGCTTACTAGGTAGGTATCACCACTCTCCAGACATTACAACAATATAAAAAAAAGTTCTGTGGCTTCCTGATAATGTTTTTCAAGGTGTCAAGGTGTTTTCTACTACTATTCTCCCTCTTTCACCCCTGTACGACAATTGATTTGGTCAAAGTAGCCAAAACAATATGAGGAAAAATCTACACTTCCACTAAGTATGAAGTTTGCGTTTAGGTTTGTTGGAAGGGTTCAATCCCTGTTGATTACTGTTTCCAGTTGACAGACAGGTGTGTATGCAGAATGTGAAAAATGTGCATACGTGGCTTAGGAAAGCTGCAGAAGGCCGTACACATTCAATTAGGTGTTCATCAGTTTCCATCGAGACAGTAATTGAATTTGAGTATACTTTGCTTGGTGATCAGAATGTTTAAGACATGGTTTACAGTAGTTCTTGATAAACTAGTCATATAGAGAGGGACGGAGAGAAATGTCCGTATTCATTGTAGATGTTAGCCTGATTGCCATATAATATAAAAAAATGTTTGCTATCCTTCTTACCTTGTGCGTATGTCCAAACATTTTACTCCATTTCAACTGAAACCACTTCATTCCACCCGCAAAACGTGATTTATGCTTGACATCAATTTTTTCTCACAATGTTTCCAAATGTGAAGAGACTAATCGTCCCATTGAGATGGGAACCAACTAGAGTAGTAGTGGCTGGAGTTACAAATACAATTTTGGTCTAGGATTTGAACTACCTCTCTTGTTTGTGACTGGAGTTAGATGGAGACCTTAGCCCTCATATAAAGTTTTGGTTGACTGTATACAAAACCTTAGAATTTCAGAGGTGGCCAGACTACTGTGGTGTTTTTTGAGAGAGCAGGACATTTGCTTCTCAAAATACTTTAGAGGTTTGTATAGGTTCAGAGGCTTGTTGCCTGAGGCTGCAAAACTTCAGCTTGTGCAGTCACTAATACTGTCAGTATTTTACTACTACTTCCCTGCATATGACAACAGCATTTCTCGGGAAGACATTAATCGGTTGCATCGTCTGCAAAACTCCACAATCCGTTTCATTTTCTTTTTGGAAAAATTTGATCATGTCTCTCCCTTTTGAGAAGTAGCTAGTCTGCTTCCCGTTGAAGCCATGTTTAAGTTGTTGACGTGCTGCATGACCCACAGAGTGTTGTCTCTTTGTAAGCCCTACTATTTACGCGAAAGGGGTTCTCTTCGCAATGAGGTTTCCCTGCGCAGGACACGTCATGGTGGGAGGCTTCACCTCCCAAGAGTTTCTTTAGAGCTTGGGAGGAAGAGCTTCTCATATTTTGGTCCCTCTTTGTACAATGGTCTGCCCGACGGCAATACATTTAAAGAAAAACCTGAAGATGTGTTTTATAAAAATTTTAATTATCTAAGTGTATAACGGCCAAATAGTAGAATAAGATATTTAGCATAGTGACGAAAGTTGTTCTGAAAAGCTGGTGTACCAGAGAAACGCTTAATAAAGACATTTTTATTTATTTATTTATTTACTTTGTCAACAACTTGTTTACTCCACATTGCATGTAACGGTACAAGGTTTGCCTGTAAAAGAAGCTAAATAAATCATGATCATTAACATGGCTCTTGCTGGGGCCAAAGCCCCTCGTTCCAACCGCCACCCCTGGCTTAAGTCTGGGACTTATTTGCTTGGCCGCTTTCCGTGAAAAATCTTCTTTCATATTGGGCTTCGGCCACTTTCAATCCTCTTCCAGACATATTCTTTGTCCCAAAATCGTAACAGCACGACTCCCCTCCCCCTACTACCCTGAGCAGTAGAGATAATTTGGATTCCCTCTACCCTTTTTTCTACCCCTCATCGGGAAGTTTTCTTTCCTTTTATTGTTTTTTTTTTTCAATTTAATAGCCTGTATGTGTCCCTGCCTCTTACAATTTCCTTAGATACTTTCCTAAACGTCTCAATTACATCCTTGTCCCTCATCAAGTTTTCTTTTCTCATCTCTAAACCTTTCCTATACAAAACTTCTACCAGTTCTCTCTTATTTGCTTTCTCTCTTATATAAGTACACAATTCAACAAATTGTGACTCTTGGTCTCTATTTCTCCGAATCTACATACTTCCTCATCCACCAGGTTAAATCTCCGCAAATTCGCCTTGAAATTTCCATGTCCTGTGCGTCCAATAATGGTCTATCTCCCAATCTTGTTCAAGTCTCCTTCTGATGTTTGGCATATATCTGAAAGTTTTCCTTCCTTTCTCATTCTGCTCCCAGTGCATTTGCCTTTCATTCAATGTCTCCTCTCTTCTGGCACTCTTGCTTTCCGATGTAGTCCTACCCGCCTCTTTGTCTTCCAAAATCCTAATTTCAATGAGCAGGTCGTGTGGTATGGCTCCGGTCAAAACCCTGATCGCATCATGCGATATTGTGTTGTATGCTTTCCCTACTTTTAACAAAAACCTTCTTTGCATACTCTAAAGTTTTCCTTTCAATCCCGTGTACTCTTTGCTCTCACAAGCAACAGTGCGTCATCGGTGTATGTGGTTATCATGATCCCTTTCTCTAGTGGTAATCTCAAAAGGCTGTCGAACATCACGTTCCATAATAGTAAGCTAATACTTGTTTAATTGTGTTATTTAATGATGTATTTTTGCTTTTAGATGATGATCATAATGGGAGTAATTGGAGCAACTCTCTTGATACTCATTTTTGGTGAGTAAAATTCAGTAAACAGACAAATTAAAATAATTAGCCTATGACAATAAGTTAAGTGAGTTAAGTTACATTTCAGCATGAGTGTAAAGAGACCGATTTGGTTGAGGTATTGACTCAAGTCACAGAAAACATACTACTATAACCCAGAATGCCAACAGCATGGTAAAAAGCGTTAAGTACTTTGAGAGAGCTTTGCCTGTCAATTCGTAGGCAGCGCCACCAGCGTTGCTATGCTGAGTGCAACACATTGGATTGATGATTTTGCCCTCGTTCATGAAGATTTGGAGGTAAGCAACATGGCAAATATCCCCAACGTTTGCGAGGACATAGATAGCCTTGCTGATGTTAGCAAAATCATAGTTAGAATCTTCAATAATCTCTGTGTTGCTAACATTGCTGACAGCACATTGATATCGCTAATTTCTGTGATTTTACTAGCTTCTTCTACATTTGCGATAACAGTGTGAGATTTTCTGACGTTTAGGACGACATCCCTAGCTTACAAGACGTATGTGGTGAATTATGTATTGAATAGGCAGATTTTTGAAACAGCTGTGTTTGGAATAGCTGGACTCTGACTGGGGGTAGCTGTACGAGTGTTTAATAATGTCCATGTTGTTGCAGTTTGGATATACTCCAGCATTGAAGGCGACGACTCCTCCAACAAGCCTTGAACATTCCTGTCTGAACCAAGATTCGCACAACTGTAAAAACTATTTTGTCCTCAGTTACAATTACTACCAGTAGTATTAATTTTCAATTACATATCGTTATTTCAATTTTAATTGGTCAAATAAACATAAATATTTAGGTGGTCGGCTTTATTAATGTTGAGGTAAAAACAATATTCATGTCAATTATTGCATGTGATGAAATCCAGTTCAGAATCAAACCGATTTTGCGATGGTAATACGTCATGCCAGTTGTATACTGTATGAATGTCTGTCTTTCAATATCACTCAGTGTTCTCTACTTACTGTGTAATGTCGTTAATTGTAAATACTACTCTTGACATGGTCAGTTAGAATGTCTCTCTTTCAAAAAGTATATGTTATTTTTTATATGTAGCTATTTATGGATGAAATAACCTAACACCAGAACAGTTTGCATATAACTAGTTCCTATAATACAAGCATAATATTTGTTAACACATAAGTATTCCATCCACTGCAATGTAAAGTGAACACATAACATTACAGCTACATGTTTCAGTTCTAAAAGTATATTGTTTTAAATGTTAGTTGTTATGTTAATCTGCTTTGTTAAATATTAAAGTATATTTATGTATTCACTTTATAGCTTATAATAAAATATTTTCAACATAGTTTTGATTTTTCCTATCTTTTATTGCAAATAGTTAAACAGTATCATTGAGTTTTCGGTTATGAAGTAAACATCACATAAGTATGTACCATTTTGTATCATATATCTTTTTTTTAAGGCCATTCGAATGATTAATTCACAGAATGCACTTCAGTCTAATACTATATTTTCTGCTTTCAGTTTTTTTTTACTTAAGTAGTTAATGTGTTCTTGACAAAGCATTAAGTTGATGTGACATAAATGCTTTAACAATTAGTCGTCCCATAAGATTGACTTGTTTAAAAAGTTCTTGTTTTACAAAAATCAGAAATTTACATCAGCACACATTGTCGGTGGCTCAACTAAGTTTATTAATTTTGATTTGAACAACTGGCAGCGACTATAAAATCGGAATATAATGTCATAGTTCTATCAATAGTTGAAGATGGAACCAACAACAATATTATCCAAAATCAATTTTCTACTATTGGTGGTTTAAAATACCTGTAGGCCTATTGTTGGTAATCCAAATTATAGCTGTGACAACTAATTTTGACTCACATCATCAGTTGTTGCAAGGACAGAATCGCTTCTTCATAAGGTTGTCATTATTAATACACAGTAAAACAAAACACAGTCAAAATCCTCCCAAAAATCTTTTTTTACAGATAAACTATTATATTTTTAAGGGGAAATTTAGTAATTTTTATTGCAAATTGTTAAAAAAAATTCATTGCAGTCTATAGGATACACTTGTGGCAAACTGTAGGAAAGAAGAAGAGCTCTAACCTAAAACTCGCAATCGTTCGAGTCTAACTATTTTTTTTGTACGCTGTGAGAAGTAGAGAAGATCGACAGACGATGGACGCTTTCAGGCATATATGGCAGTGTCCGATGCTGACGTTTGGTGGCATTCTTATAATTAATTTAATTCTTCCGCATTTAATGTCATCATTTACCTAGTACTGAAAACTTGAAAAAAAATGACTATTGGATAAAGAAGTTACAATTTACAATATAATAATATAAAGAATAAAGAGGTTGTATTAATAGGCAAAGCTTGAAGGTAGTTGCATGTTAATTTATCTGAGTTTAACATTAGGAATTTGCAATTACAGTAATGTATTTCAATGAATACCGTACTGGTAGCTAATTTTAAAACTTCCAATATTTAAATAGTATTCATAATTTTTAATAATTAGAGGACCTGATATAAAATTTAAGAATAGTAATATGCGAACCAATATGACCACACTATGAGAATACTGAGAACAAATTCTTTAGGCCAAATCCACATAATCATAGTGGCAGTGAGTGACTGCAATGGGCAACTTTGTGTAGCTTAACTGCTGCTTAGTGCTTACTATTCAGTTATAATGCAGTCGTGTTGGGTGCAACTCCTCAAAGACCTCTATGATCAAATAAGTTCTGGTTCAAAATTTTGGTCTGATTTTGGATTAAATTTTTTGTTTGCCATGCACATCAGCACCAGTTTAAAGAGTATTTGTCCAAATCAATAATGCTTGGTGTATAGGTAGAACCTTGATGCGAGAGTCTGTTACAAAAACTTTAATTATAAATATGTATTTTTAAAATTTTAAACTAAATGTGTTATTTTTTGCTGTATTCCTTCTAGTAAAAACCGCGTTTTAATGAAATTCCACTATAGTCTTCGGCCCCCACTGGTGACCACCCCCCCAAAAAATATAGGTCTAGGACCACGCTTTCTTTTGAACCCCAAATTCTCTTTGTGTTTATCTGAAACTTGATGGCACTACTTGTACACTAGTCGGAACTAGAGCTACAGCAACAAATTGGATTACCAATAATACAGTAATTTTAATCCACTTATCGTATATCTTGTTAATCCGAAGGTTTTCATTTGAAAAAATAAATTCATCTACTTCATTACAATGTTGCTTTTAGAAACTTTTTTCATTATCTTTAAGGATCACAAAGGATGATCTTTGCTAAGACCTAACTCATCCGAGTTCCATTCCAAATGTAACGACTGATTCGGGACGTGTTCCAACTTGAATTATTAGTAGCAAGCAACTCCTCATGGGTAACCTGCATGTCGTGAACTACTGTACCGGAACTTCTTTCTGCCATCAACCATTTGTAGATACTGACTTCTAGCACCATTAAAGAATCTTTTTTCTTACAAACAGTAAAGAATTTCATTGTACTCTTTAAGTGGACTAGAAACTTTTTATTTTAGTAAGGGGAGAGAAAATGTGTTATAGAAATAGGTGGGCAGTATGTAGTGAGATAAATATATATTTTTTTAATAGGTTGGCGGCCTCTTTAAATCTTGCCTGTCCACATAGACTAACTGCCCATGAGTGGAATGTATCCAACAAAGCAAGCGGTGAGCTGGTACAGTACGAAGGTGAACTGTACTGATAAAATGTTTGCGGCAGTGACCACGATCCAAACCAACGACATCGCTGCCTTGGGTCCGAAGTCTGTGACCCAAGGCAGCATTTGACGCTACCGAGCCCGTGACGCTACCGACTGAGCCACTGACTCACCTATATCCTGTACTGATCAGACTACTCACTAAGAACCGCCTCAACCAAGTTCAACACAGACCTGTCATTATGGGATTGTTTGTTATTTCTTCAGGTCAGGAACACATGTGACCTGAGCTTGTAGGGCTTGCGCTGTTTCTCTTCTGGTATTCAGTTATTTCATGGCTATTCTGCATCCTGGTCAAGGTCAAGTGGCATTATTTGCCCAGAGAATACCCTGGACAAACTCTATAAAACAGGTCCAATTGTCCTCTCTATCTGTCGTCATCGTTGGGATGACCATGTCTACTGACAGCTGTCACCAACCTGCTGATAAATTGCCTTCCTCTCTGCTGTAAAAGGATTGACATAGATGACTCCAGCTACCACCAGAATGGCGGGTGCTACCCTGGGTGGTGCCTGACACTGCACACGGGGAGCCGCATCCTGTTTACCTCCTTTTTGAGCATGTCACCTCTACACTTTTCCGCTCAGTCAAGTTGCAAAAGTACAGGATACAGGTTAAGGTTTTACAATTTTGTAAGAAACCATGCCTCCAGCAGACATAGGCGTCAGAGAGATTTCATAAGATAACCAACATTAATTTTCAAGTTGGTCAAATGTAGGAAGTATGAAAATATACGCTAATTAAGTCCTAAGAGTTGCAGTTGCCGCAAAGCAGTCTAGGTCCTTGCTTACATCTGACATCAGTGTCAAGTTCTATATTTCCCCCACTACTTTTTTAACTGTTCTCTCTTTGAGGGACGACGTAAATTTGTCATAGTAGTTGATAACAAAGTGAGCGAAGAACGTTTCCACCATTGGCCTACTTGGTGAAACCATTCGTCCTATAGACGTGCGACTGGCTAGAACAGTTGAGAGGGGAGGGGGGAATAATAGAATATGGGGCTGATATCAAATTTTAACTGGTGTACATGGCCATGACTAGAGTTTGTTGGAGATATCAAATCACGGACGCTCTTTGTAGCCACGTTAGCAGGAAAGCTTGACTTTGACAAATGTTTTTAATCGTAGGTTCTCCTGTCTAATAAACCTAACAAAGTACAAACGTCACAAATCAATCGTTGTGAAGGAAACATCTCCTTCGACATTTTCTCTTGAATTAATGTATTCATTATACGGCATCACATTGATCTTTAGCTTAATTGATTATAAAAATAAGAAGGTTGTGTTCCTGCATCGATTGTCTAGTTGCTAGTTGATGGAATTGGAACTTGCCCAGATTTACAAGGATGTTACTCTAAATCATAGTTTATTTGAAAGCCTTTGGAATAATAACTACTTTAAAGAGCCACAATTTTGAAACTAAACATCATTAGTTTTCAAGATAATACTTTATATCTATATTACTTAATATCTAAACAAGATAATACTTTTTCTCACTACAAGAAGCCATCAACAAATAAAAAATAGTTTTGTGATAAAACAAAACGGCAATTCGTATAGGTATTTTTGGAGTTTTTTAAATTTTTACGTGATATTTTAGTTTGTCTTTGATCTAGGAATGATACCTCAAAAGGTCGGTAGAGAGTTCGAAGACACCTTGTATTGACCCATCCTTATAAAACAGTTCAAGAGATGATCCTATAAACTCCATTACATTACAGAATGCACCTGCAGTTATAACAACTACATGCGAGGGAAAATAGTACAAAATAAACTTGATATTTGATGGACGCGATTTAGACAATTTGACAGTTCATCAAGTTATGGGGCTGAACATCGCGTGCAGAAGAAATGTTAAACTTTCCAACTTTTCTTGTATCATTCATGTTAAGCTTAAGTTGCAGATTTAAGAGACTTTACTGATGGGCGGAAAAGTCATTATATGACCGAAAATATTAATTTCCTAAGTATGTCCAAAAAATCATAATTACACCAATTTACACAATTCCACACTTCAGGAAGTGAATTAAGAACCTAACTGACAATAAACAACTCGTACAAACACTTACGCAATCAATGCCTTCTAACAGTCGATGACGTCATCAGCGCTGTGGAGGGTAAAGCTGGCCAGCAGCTTTGAAAAAATGGTGGATACGTTCAAGCGGCGAATACCGTTGCTTGAATTGGAATTCGGCCAAATATCCCACAAAGTGTTTTTTCCGAATCCCATACCGGGGGATGGTTGCCCGCACCTCCCTCCAAACACGCTCAATATTGTTCGTGTGAGCACCAGTCTCGGGATCAACGAAGTTCACAGAGTGGTTGACTTGAAGATGCCTGAACCCCTCCTGGCCTAGACAGTCGTACGCCCGCCAGCAGTCGCTGATGATTGTTGTGCCAGGAAGGATCCACTCGCGAATCAATGCCAGCAAAGTCGCAGAGTCCCTTGATTCCACAGGAACAAGGAAGGTCCTCTTCGTGTTCACGTCAATACCACCGAACACCCACTGTCCTTCTATAATTCGCCCGCGATTATATTTCCGCCGTCCGAACTTCGCCTCGTCAATTTGCACAACCGCCTGCGGTCCACCGATCCTCTCCG